TTTCGACAAGGTTTTGTCATCATGAACATTGTACATTTGCTGTTATATTAAAGTTTTTCTTCATTACCCATTCAAGCCGTCTCCAGCCATTATTAGTCTCAAAGTGGGTTCCTCGTCATCGAATTTGAAAACATGCTCAATGATTACAATAAAACAGTTTTCATCATTCCAAACACTAACAGTTTCAACCAAGAACATTTTGCCAAGATAGACAAACACGTAGATGAAAACCTTCTCACACTCGGCAAAGACGGAATAAGCTTCCATTATTCTTCAAGAAACATGTGATGCTATCACCATGCCAGATAACTCTACACTCATCTCTAAACCTTTACAGGCCAAAACTACTATCAAGAAAAAACTTCACAAACCGAATTGCCACCAAACCACCCAGTTTCTCCCAAGAAGTATTTGTTGATGAAGAAGTACAACCCGTGAAGAACGTAGTCTTCTGTCAACTCAGGTGCATCCAGCCTTCTCCCACCCAGTCCTCTCAACCAAATAGTTTCTATCCAACTTCCTTCAAGAAACTTTTACCTGAGGAATATGACAACAATGATAATGCATCTGACCAAGGTTTTTTTAGCCTATGTCATATTCCATCTGTTCCAGCCATCAACAGACCTCTTTATATATAATAACCAGTTGTTTATAATTTACGATGTTCAACCTTTGACTTTTTCTTCACAGAACTTTCCAGGCATGGCCCAGGTATATCAATTCAGTGCCAAGGTCATGAGAGTGGTTTTCTTGGGGCACTGCCATTTCCACCTACAGCAAAATTCAATCAAGCATAGGATCTACAGATCTCTGCTCTGAAAAGGACCATCCTTCAGCGTAATATAATCTAATAATTTAATAAGTGTCATCGTTTTAGTTCAACTGATGCTTTACATTAAACAATCCATGTAACCTTTATTATTTAAGGAATTGGAAATAATTTATCCAAGAGCTTACAATCAGTTTAAATTTCCCTACTTAATTTTCTCCTTGTTTGATTACAGATCATGTTGGCTTGGAGCTGGCTTCCTTGGTGAGGGCCTTAGTCCACCTTCAATCAGCACAGCACATTACCTCTCCTTCCTACTTCTGTTTCATTTCCGGTTCTCAGCATTCACAGTTTCTCTGACGTCTTGAGTCATCTCAGCCACACTAGAAAATTAATACAGCCTTTGTGGCACTACACCTTCATTGAAGTCACACATACATCACGTGTATGGGGCAAAGTGGAACAATTGTTCCAGAGCATCCCTGTTGAGAAAAGCCTGCAACTCTCTTTGTTGCACTATCTTCCTTCAAACTAAAGTCCCGTCAAGTTTAAATAAGTGACTAAATATGGTAATTCAAACACATGCAAAATGTCCAAAAATCTATACAAATCATTATAATCCTTACAACTAAATGCAACCAGACTCAAATACCAACTTCCAGTTTACACACCAGGATTATATTTACACAAAATAAGCATATTAAAAACAACTAAAGAAAGATTCACTGACCTTGCAACCTTCTACTACAAGAAAGCAGAACATCATAACTCCCTATTATCCAAAATTATTAAAATCTCTGAAACACGTGAATTGTGAAAAAATACATATCCCCCACCACACCGTAAAATCACTCCTCAACAAAAATCAGCCACCTTGAGCATTTACCTTTTCTGCATCCAGTTCTCCGACCAGGTGACAATAAAGGACTTCACTTGTATGCCGACATCAGTTTGGACTATTCATATCATTGTTCTGTGATAATTTGTGTTACTCTAAATTTGTTATTGTCTTACAAATCTTGTTATGTTAATTTGACTTGACAACTATTCATTTATCATATTGTATGCTACAACTTTATCCTATGTATTTTGTACTACTGAATCACGAATAAACGTTACAGTCTTGGTCTCCTTCTGAGGTGAAGTGAGAGGCCCCAGAGTTGCGTGTGTGTGTTGGGTCTCCTGCAACTGATGGTTCAAGCATGAAAGTGGGCCAGTTAGTATACGTCATAGCTACCAAGGAAATGAAGCATACTCATGCAAGGTAAACGAAAGCCTCTTATGGTACTCCTCCTCAGTTTCTCCTTTTGTTTGAGGCGGCAGTCAAGTTCAGTAAAGTGCAGTCAAATGCACTAAAGATCCCAAACAGTAGATAAATGACAAGTCAACTAGACCAAAATTATCCACCAAGGACAAAATAAGAGCTTAACCAAGAACAGGGCAAGGAGAAATTTTCAATTTCTGACCACAAATCGATTGATCAGATTATTCTTCCAGAACAGAACTCCCACTCAATTTCAGGCACATTAGGTTTAGTTATCATTTAGCAACACGAAAAGTTTTACATTGAAAACTTAGGAGTTTCCAAAAAATAACCATTTAAAAGATACACAAAGTATCTAGCCAGAGCAACATAATATTCATTATACAGGGTAGACCAATAGTTAGTACCCAGTTAATGTAATGAATGAGTACACAGAACATAACTTAATAGATAGAGGACAAGAAAGTTTCAGTGCAACTAAATTTTGGGGTATCCTGTATCAAAACATTTTACTCACAGTATTCCATATATTCTAGAATATTCTGACATATAACACACCATTTTGTCTTCTCTTTAATGTGTGTATATATATAAATATATATGTCAAACAAATACTTCAAAACATGGTTTTATCTATTTCCACAGCAATAACTAAGAAATTAATGGTGAGCAGTAACAACTCAGTCTAGTGACTGATACATCTCATTATCTCTTCTCTTACTGCTGTAGCCTAATGTATAACTTCATATTTTTCTTGACATTGGTGGTTCTTGAAACAAGCAAGGCAACACCCTGGATATCATTGCTTTGGCAGAAAATCTTGGTTTAATTACCTAACATCACAAGCTTGTTTATTCATCATTCAAAAACATGTTTATACACTAATAATGAGGAATGAAAGAACTCAACTACTGGTATTACACAAAATTAAATATTAATTACCCACTAGCAACAGTGTCTATTAAAAATATTACACAGTAAGACAAAAAGACCTTCAGACTGGTGGACATAAAATATTTTCCACACTAAGACATTTGCAATTTAGAAATTTAATCCAGTCATTTATACTAATACGGTAATGCATTCTCTCTTAATGAAATCTATAAGGATTTTCTTCAAAGTGGTATCACCAACTAACAAATGCAGATCAGCATGCAACATGGAGTTTTGTAACACAAAACTACTAGCATGCAACATCAGTTGCATATAATCAAATACCATTTCTGAGCTTAACCCTTTAAAATGGTGCCTTCTACGATCAACTACTTCCATTTTAACATAATAATGTAATTTCACAGCTTTAATTGTAAGACCTGAAATAAACAAATCTAAATTATTCTTCACTATTTTGAAAATTCAAGTTCAAATCAACACTCACAAAAGCAGATTTTTAGCTATAATGTAAGCACAGTTTAACTAAAACACTTTTCTGACTATGCTTCAACAATCTTACAATCTTAATGAAAATATCTTGTATGAAAATGCATGCAGTTTTTTAAATTAGATTCTGAATAGCCTAGTTTTTAAAGCAGATCTTTGGTGAAAGGTAAGCAAACATAACTAGAATATTTGCTATTTTAGAATTACATAAAATGGATTTTTATCCTGTGACCACAATTAATTTTACTCATTAATATTACTCTAATGGTATACTAACAGTGTTGTGCTGATGCCTTTAGTTCCTGGCTTTGTAAGTAAAAATGGTTTTGATATTAATGTGCAACTACATAGAATAAATTTTTGTAAAAGTTATAAACTTTATATAAATTGCCTACATCTTTTATAACTGTTGAGGACACACTATAACCACTGTCAATACAGATATCCCAGTTAATACTAACTTAAGTCATCCCCGAATCTTTATTAACCACCCAAATAATTCATTTAATACAAGTTTATTTCCTGATTCTGTTTCCAACTTATCAATTTTATCTTTTCAATCACATGGTTTCAACCAATCAGAAGAGCATGACTTCATCAAATGATTTTTTTTTTCTAGCTTTCTATCACTACATTATGTATATCTTGAGAGATATTACTGGCATTATAGTCGAAAATATCGAAAACACTGATGATACCTCACTGATAACACAACATATTCTAATCACTATAAATGTGAACATTACTGGTTCATGTGGATAGTTTGCTTTGATCAGAAGTTATATCAATAATAATTTTTTGATGTTTTAAAAGACAGAAATTACTAACTCCTCAGAGAATCAAGAGAGTTACTTAAATGTATTTTTAATTTCAAATTTTCATTTTTTTCATGTTGGAAAATTCATTGTCATACAAGAGGGTAAGAGGACACATTTTTAAATACAATGACGGTTAATGGTCAGGAATTGAAAAACATAATTTCAAAAGACCAATAAGGTAAAGTCCCTCTAACTCTACTTCAATGTAGAAAAGGTTATGTTAAACATCCACTTAGTGATAACTCTCTTTTTGATCAATGCACATTGTATTATATATATTAAAGTTAAGAAAAGCAACAAAATTATTTCTTTTTCAAATGAAACATATCATAAAGTAATAAATTTGCTCCATTATAAATAACATAATAATTAATCAAATTAATAAACTCATGCACCCATTAAAACTGCCCAATAACTAAGAAACTCAAAAATGTAATATTTGATACTCACAGTTTTCTAAACATTCAAAGTTTTATTCTTATGACAACACTAACAAAGTATAGGAAATTTGATTCTCAATTGTTTGTAAAACTGGAAAGAAAAATCTTGAACTATGGACATTATATTATTTTTGATCTATCACACTCTATAAAAGACAGTAAAAAAACAAAAACAAAGTTACTTATACTACTGTCCAATACCAACAACAGTTAGAACAATCACTGTTTACACCAAGTTCACCTTAGGAACACTTCTGGACTAATAAATACCATGTGTCTATTTTTCTAAAAACACACATTTATCTTAACACTGCAGAAAGGAAAATAATTACAATTATTATCTAAATTATAATTTCAAAATTAGCTACACTGTTCACATTATCAGTTCACTATGTTGTACAATGCTTGAAACATCATTTAGTTGCAGAATAGAAACCCCCCTTGACTAAGAATAGATCGTCTAACAATTATAAAATATCAAAAATAAAACTTTCTATAATAATTCACTAAATAATTTGAAACAACTCAGTATTAAACACATGAGCATCTTTTACATTATATCAGCAAGCACACTTTCAAAAAAGCACCAAATATGTATATATCTCAAATAAACATTTAGCAAACTTTAAAAGCTACAAGTTACAAATAAGTTTAATAGGGCCATAAACCTTCTTGTGACACCAAATAACCACTTTTAAATTTTCACCACTATTTGATCAACTTGAAAAACAAACTTTAACCATTGTTTTTACATATTTCACTGATCTTTGATCCTTTCAAGTGACACCTGGAGTTACAAATGTGTTCCTTAAAACAATAATGAAGTTCTAAGTATATTCGTTACTTAAACAAAAAAAGAAAGTAACAAATAAAAATACTCTTAATGTGATAAAATCTGAATTTAAATAAGTCATACAACAGATATCAGATAAACTATTACAACAAATAATTATATGTCACTGTAACGATGACACTTTTCTTAACCATTTTGAGTCATTTGGCATAAAATGTGAATAATGTACAAAATAATATTCTTTACTCAATCATGTGGCAGAGATGAAAAAAATAATAAAAAGCTTACATAATCAAATCAGATAATTGAAAGGCAAAGCTCAAGGAAGAAGTGTCTTAGAAATTAATACACAACTAATATCAATACAGAAATGTGGCTATCTTCATTAAAAAAGCATGATATACACTAAAGGCTTATACCTTAAATTATACTTTGTTAAAATGACCAGACAGTGTGTTCATCTACCAAGAGGACTTCTATTAAACATTATTTACAAATATTTGCTTTAGCACACTAAAATGTTTTCATTCCAAAATTTGGTGTTTACAGCAAACTGTACTCTTTTAATCTATCACTGATCCTGAAAATTAAGGTCTGTACATGTGAAGTCACATTTGTTACTGTCTCTCAGTATAAACTAATTACAAAAAATGTAAATTAAAGATATTCAAAGTGACACAACTTTCTACATTTAGCTTAAAAGTAAGATATAAACTAAATTTCATAAAATACTGAAAATCACGAATACTTTTCTCTCATCTACGCAAAAAATGTTATCTCAATTTGACGTAAAGATGGCTAACAATATATCTGCATTTATTGTATAGACTTTACATAGATAAATAGCTACTAAATCACTTTATAAAAAATGAAACAAATGAAGTACTAGATATGTGTTGATATAATTTCAAACATACATTTCTTTATTCTTCTAACAATTAACTAAATATATCCTACTAAAATCAAAAGTTTAAAAAATAATGAAAACTTTTTACATATACATATTCTGCTGTTGCTGATACAAAACATACAAAAATTAAATTGAAATTGAAAATAATCTGAACAAAAAACATTTAACACATTATGTATATGATGGCTGAGAATGCTCTCATAATACAGCAATAACTGAAACCTCCTTTATTTGTATGTCAATAACCTGAATTGCCCTTTTTTCGTGTTATTTTTTTATTCAAGAGTATCTATAATGCAGTTTTGTGTGCAAGAATGCAACAGTACTGAAATACTGCATTTAAAACCAAAGAAATTATTGAATAACAAGTTTCAGTTAAAGGTGTACAAATCAAGGAAGTTTTCTGGTAAAATGAAAACATCAAAAGTACAGTTTGACATCACAATCAAGCGTGTCTAGGGATTTCCAAAAAATGATACCCTTGTTACTGTCAACTGTCTAGACAAAGTTTGTGAAGCACTTCCTTAGTTTGACATATGTAACACCACCTTTCTTGACATCTTCTCTTCAACCTTAGGTCTTTAATTGCTGTTTTGGCCAATGGGATCTGAAAAATTCAAAACTCAGTACACATTTTTCAGCACTACATAAACATTTTCACACTTCACAGATACTTTATAGCTAAAAACTTAACAGTTAAAAACACAATTAAAAGAAAACCTAACATCAGCACATAGTGAACAAATTACTTCAATTTTAAGTAGCATTTATACTATTCAGCACCTAAAAGAATAATTATTTAGACCATATTTCAACAGATTGATTATATAGACTGACTTCCCATAAGTTCAATCTTATAATATGACTTATGTGTATAAGTTCCAGATAAGCAAGTTTATACATCTTTTCTGATATATAGTAAGCTCCAATACAGAGGTTTGATAAAATTCTCCATTGCTCAGGGTAATAAACCACAAAAATACACTGTTTACACTCAGAATGCACATTGCCAAAACCCAAGCTGTTTCTTTTAACTTTTCCACTTTTCACAGGCAAGTTATGTGAAGTCACTTCTTGTTACATTACAACAACCCACCAAGACTGTACACAAATGTATGGCAATGTTAAATCCACTAGATTCTTTTGTATGTGAAATTTCAGGAATTCTTATTACCATGAGTTGGTCTGTCAAACATTCTGCAGGTGATAATAATTAGGCCATACACTTCTTTTTGTAGAAGTATAAAACTAAATGACTGCTTTTGTCTTTGTGATTAGAATTGCCAACTTCCAATAATGTTCAATTGTATTAGATACAAAATTCGGCTTGCATATTTTCTTAATAAAAGAAAGGTTTGCAATATGATACAAACACAGATTAGTAGCCAGACATTCAGCCACTGAGAAAAGAGGGTTTATAGTAATGACTTTGATAATATAACGTAGCACTAATCTTTACTTCAACAACTGAGGTTCAAGAAGGCATTCTTTTAATTAAGCTTTGTTACATTTTTGTTGATTCTCTACAAGGCAGGTATAATAGTCATAAAAACAACTGAAATAAAGATTTTCATGGTGAAGCCTGGAAAGAAGCACATATGACAAAAACAACGTTATGTTTAATAAAATTTAGAATGTTATTATATTCTCTTAATGTTCTTAATTAGCTTAGTAAATAAACTGAAAGAATTTAAAAATGCAACAAAATACTGTCCATACCAATCAATAGTTAAATTGACAGCTGCACCATTTAACTGATCCAGCCACTCAATTTGCTGAAGCATTTGCCCAGAAGATAAAGAAATATATTCTTTAGAAATATACCTATATTACAAGAGGTATTGTGCTTTTAACTACTCAAAAACTTAATTTGGCACTCCTTAAATCAAACAGAGAACAAACCAATTCTGGGCTTTACAATTAGCACAGCTCATGGGTCCAACAAACTCAGGACTGCATCATGTCAGTAGCTTAGCTGCTTAAAATATTTGCCCACTAAGCAAAATTATGAGTTTGAATCCTGCACAGTTTCACTTTTCATTTCCTTAGAATAGAAAATTTTTAATTTTAATCTTTGTACTAAATGTTTTCAGTATTAAAAAATGTTTATTTTCCCTTAAACATTTAAACTCACCTTGAACAGATCCTCCCATAAACTAGAAAGGACACATACAAATTTTTTCTGTTCATGCTCAGAAACAAAATAGAAGACCCATTCTCCACTACAACTGTCTGCTTCTGTGCAATCAAACTCCTTAAAAATTGGAAATAGAAGTTTCGTTTACTTCAGTTCACGGTCTTAATTTATTATTTTGTTTATTCTTTAAGACATGCATGTTAATGCTTTAAACACAAAGTAACGCTTTGTATATTTTGTCATTAATAACCCTTTGCACAAACTCAATACAAGTAAAGCTACTCAGTCAGAAATTGACTTATAAACTTAACCTATACTTTATCTACAATACTCATCACTTTTAGCAGTATCAATGACAATAATATGCTAATGAGTAAGCAATTAATGAACTGCATAACACTGACAGTTGTGCACCTGTTCAGAGATGTAAACTTAATAAAGTAAAAGTTATTGTTCCTTTAACGATCGTTATTACAAGTATTGCTTTTTATCTGCGAGTATTATGAGTTCATTTCTCTTTAAACATAAGTTCTTAATTGTTTAGTTACGATTTTGCTTTTCATTCATTTTAAGTTTTAGCTTGCAAAATGCAAAGGAATATTTGTAAGAAAAATCAAGCTTAAAAATTATTATAATTTCAGAGAAACAAATTTCTAAAATTATATTAAAGTATCTAATATTTATAATTAAATATCAATATAATAGAATGCCTAGAGATGGTTAAAGATTAAGATATGTAATTCATATATTTCAAGCTATTCAACTAGTTCAGAATCAAGAATTTAACCAAAAAAATAAATAAATGGTTGTAAAAATAAAAAACGATAAAATTCTTTAAAAACTTCATACCAATATACAACAGTTTGGAGTTTCTTCATCACAGCTCAACGTGACAAGATCAGTAATACTGGCTTTTCCTAAAACTGTCTTGATTTCTTCTCCACAGTTATTTGCTAAAACTGTGAATATGAAGTCCCCAGCAAAAATCAGACAACACTGAGTTGGCAGAGGTGGATCTACCTCCAAAATCTTTTTTTTTCAAAGAAACAATTAAAATGAACTGATTAATACAATAATTTAGTGCCTGAATATCTTTCATCTCTCCATTACAAAGATGTATCACTGAAAGTATACTTTTCAATAAATCAAATGTAAAAATTAATTTTTTATATAATGTTAATGCTATCTTGGAAAACATGACTAATGCCACCCTGTCCTATGTTGTATTAATATTGGTAAAATATGCTCTGGATGACATGAAATTGAGAATTGTATGGCTCAGTTTTAAACTATTCATTTATGGATTTTATTTGAATGTAATTTTTCAAATATATTAAGATAAAAGAATAAATTCTTTTTTCATTAAATTGACAAAATGAAAACAAGTTTTTAAGCAATAGTTATGTCATAATCAGATCCCACTCCAACCAATTAGATTTGGCCTTGTTTACTCACAGCAAATCAAAAAACTCTGGAAATAAGAAAATGTTCAGCTTTTCGAGGAAGTCAAACAAACTCCCATCGTAACGTTAATACAAAAACATTTCTGCTAAAGATAATTACATGTTTATTTTACAACTTCTGCATGTTGATTAAAAAGATAATGACTATATTTATCTGATCCAATTATTATAAAAGTAAGCATATTTCACAATGTGATAAAAAGAATAAACAAATCAAGAGTGAGCAAAAGTTGAATGTCTACACACAAGGGATCTGTCTGACTCTTAACTTATTTTCTAGGTTTCATACCAAAAAGTAAGAGATTCAAAGTCACAGTACTTCACTCAAACTTGAAGTCTGCTTTATCATAAAAACTTTGTAAAAAATGTAAACAATGAAACACATTCCTACTCTAGCCCACATTGTAATCAATTCAAGATTAAATACACAATATAATTATCGATAACATGACCTACAGAGCAAACATTGGTCATTCATATGAGTTCATAACTGTCTCAATACTTTAACTCTTTCGAGACGGGTCAGGGGTGAAAGGCCATGTCATCTTGTTTGTTGACTCGCATTCAAAAATTTTATTGAATTACTATTTGAAGAATTTATGTCAATAAGTTTGGTATCCAACTGTAGATTATAATTCAAATTTTAGTACTATACATTACTCAATTTCATAATTTAAAAGTAAGTATTAAAAAAATTGATGTATGGCATTAAATTTTAAGCAATCCCTATATTAGGCCATAATTTAAGTTTCTCAAGCAGCCTCCAAATACATTAACAATAGAAGTGATTTCAGCCTGTCAGATAAGAAAATTCCAGAATATTTACCCTTTAACTCTTTCCAGATGGGTCACAGTTGAAAGACATGTCATCTCGTTTGTTGAATCACATTCAAAATTTTATTGAACTATTATATCATAAATTTATGCCAATAAGTTTGGTATCAAACTGTAGATTATAATTCAAATTTTAGTATTATACATTACTCAGTTTCTTAGTTTAAAAGTAAATATAAAAAAAACAACAGTTAAACATCAATTTTTGTGTGTCACGTGGTATGTTGAATGCAGCATTGGTTCAAAATTAGATGTTTGTGAAGTCAAAATACTAAGTCTATAGTTTCGTACGAATTAGAAACTCAAATTACCGATATTTACAAGCTAGAATATAAAATAAGAGCCTCTTATATTTTCTGTTTGGTAAGATATTGCTCATATAATAAATCAAACACAGTGGCACCCTGCCCACCTCTTTCCATTTTTGGAAACGCTCCCTTATATACACTTGTATATATGACATGAATAACTAATCGGAAGCTTAGAATGTCCCTAGTGGATTTCTCTCCCATTTTCACGGGCTTGATGCCATTCCTTTCTTTTGAACCAATATTTCAAGGAAGTAAGGTGTATCTTTAGTCTGCTCAAAATTTCATATTTTTTTAGACTAAAATACATCTTAGTTACTAAGCTTGATAAATTATAGTGGAATTCTGTGATATTGATGTTGTAATTTATGATTTTTTGGTAATTCAACTGTATATATAAAACCTAAAAAAATTATTTTGTTTCATATTCTCCACATGCAAAATTTTAAAAGACTTAGCAACCTATGTCAAGCAGCAACCGAATACAAAGGTCATAACTAGAAGATATAATTGTTTGCCTTATTACTTTATTTACTGTTCTATGTTTTAAAAAAAAAGTTTACGAACTTAGTTGTAAATAGTAATAATGTATATACATATATAATGTATAATAAATGAAATGTGACTGTATCTTACAAAATACTAATCTACTAGATCACAGCCAAGACAAGTTACTTTGTAAAGACTAAAGGTCTGTTTTATGTTATTTGATACGGTAACATGAGTGCACGTGTGCCACGTCATTGTAACTTCTGTATTGTTAGCCAGGTACGGCTGAAAGGTCAACATAATAAAAATAATGAATATATATAAATGTATAATGTTATGAGATTTAAGCTATTTAGTCTAAATATCTATGTTCATGTATTATAATTTGTGTTCATTCTAAAATGAAAGATGCATAATTTGTTTCCTAATTTTTTATGGTGGTTATGAGATTAATCAAATCTACCAAACCCGTACAGAGATTAATTACTGAAAATAACAGATTTAATAAAGAAATAAGAAAATAAAAAAGAAAATAAAAGTATTTTTAATTTTAAAATGACAATTACTTTGCATGATAGTTAGGCAACATGCAAAAAGAAAAAAACGGCATTAGAAAAACTGCTTTACAAATCTTAAGACTTAATAAAAAAAAATTGATATTTTGTGTATGGAAGCATTGCAATGTTTACTGATAATCTGCCAAATTTCGTTAACATACGCTTACTAATTTAAAGTTATAACATGAAAACTATAAGAAGCCCAAATTGGTTACGAGGTCGGTCCCAGGGACCAAGCCCGTACTGCTACAAATTGCTAAATGTACAGCAGTGATTGAGAAACAGTTTATCTATCATATGTACATACAGAGGGTTAATGCACTGAAGATGTGGGCATTAAACTATAGGTGACATGTTTAGCTACTATATTTGGTTCACAGCAAATTACTGTCTATCCAACAGTGAAGCACTGCCATGGGAAATTTATGGTTCTCCAGATATGAAACTCCCTTCTGAAGAAACTTATTCATATAGCTGGACTGTGGCTCAACACTGTTAACAGTCCAGCTATATGAATAAGTTTCTTCAGAAGGGAGTTTCATATCTCTACAACTGGCTCAACATTGTTAACAGTCCAGCTATATGAATAAGTTTCTTCAGAAGGGAGTTTCATATCTCTACAACTGGCTCAACATTGTTAAGGAATGCAGCATTTGGTGGATATGAGATTTGAATATTCTCCATTAAAGCAAACAAATTCACAAAGTAGAGCTCTTTGAATGGGAACAGCTTAAAAACTACATCAAAACAATTTACAAAGGAAAGCTTTTGACCCCAAAACAAAAAAATATTGCAATGAAGCTAGATGTATCTCCTGGTACCATTAACAATATAATAAACAAGAATTTGAAATTGATGAAGGCTCACAAGCTTTCATTTGACCACATAACTATCAAGCTACCAGATGCAGCTCCAATGCCCTGTTGTGCTTTTGGTCTGCTTAAATGATATTCTGGAATTTAACATACACATACACAGGAGAGACTAGGGAAAATTTGTTATGTGTGATTTAAGAAGTGCCTCTTCACTCTTTTAGAAACTTTATATAGTGGAAATTATAGTGTTGGGCAGTAGTGTGTAATCATGGCCATAACAATGAGTATGGTCACCAACTGAAGAATTAGTTTCAATGGTAGCATGGAACCTAGAACATTATTCTTAAAAAGTACGACAATCCTCACTATATACTTAGCCCCTACTCTCAAAATGCTGCACATTTCCTACTTGGAATAAAAAGAACTGAAACAAGTGCTTTAATTAAGTGTAATTCACAAAGCATTATGTTAACTGTTCAGTGTACTCACACACACACACAAATATATATATATATATATATATAAAATCACACAAACTTGTTTCTCTGCTGCTACTATTAAGCAAAATGCATTCATCATTGTAAGTATGAATGAATAGTTGCATAAGATTTCTACAGTATTAACTTTTTTAAACATCACATTTATGTCTTGAACTGACTGGTAATATCAACAAAAGGGCATATTTATCACATGATATATTCTGACATTTAATATATTCTGGCAATAGGCATCAACCTCTGTGTCATAGCAGCAACATGCAAACTTACAGCAGACTGCAATGTGTATATATTCCAAAGAGCCAAACAGAGAGTACAAGTATAGAGCAAATTCTTAGAAACATTGTATGAAGAGAAAGCCCAAAAAAATTTATTTTGTTAATTCTTATGCATGTAGTCAAATAAACATCTTAGTAAACTTTTCAAATAAAATGGAAATAATTGTGTAACAAGTGATTACTAGGGACTTAGTTTCACAAAGGAACAATCCTTATACTAAATAGAACTTTAAATTGAAAACATTACTCTATGTACAATGTTAGCTTACATGATCTGCTTGAGAAACTGTGTAAATCAAGTCCTGCAACCAATCACTTGTTTCATTATCATTAGATGCTGCCATCTGAAGTGAGTCCCAGTTTGGAAGGATAAGTTCAAATGAATGAGGTCTGTCTTCCAGGGGGAGTCTCCTACAACCACCACAATGGGGAACCCTAAATGTTTACAAATAATGGTATTTAGCTCCAACTGCTACAGAAACATACATACAAACATTTAGAAAATCATCAAACTATTTTAGCTTTTACCTGTTTGTAGTACTTAAGTAAAACTAAAATCATCTTAAAGCTTCATTTCCTTCTTTTTGGGTTGATTTGTTAAAGTTGGTGCATTCTATGAGCTTTTTCTGCATTCACAAAGCTACCCATGTAAGTATATATATATATATATATATATATATACTACATACACACAACAAATAATAAACTAATAATTACGTAAGGTAGGTATACTAACTTAAAGTATAGAATAATAATAACTAAACTAAAACTAACTAACTTACTTTACCTTATTTTACTTTACTACTAAACT